AAAAAAAAAAAAGAAATCAACTCTTCCTTAAGAATTAATCATCTCCTGCTGCTTTTACCCGACCTGGAGTCACAATCATACCTTTATGGTGTCACACTATCTCCTATTTTCTTTCTATCAGAGAATAAGATAGCATCCTCCCCCAAAGCACACACCCTGTGCAGACCCTTTTCATATAATTGTCATCAATAATGATGATAAGGACTTCATGCAATGCTTCTGCTGAAAACTGTACTCATATAAAATGGGAGATTTGTCACATCGCCATCAGCTACTTTCAGAAAATTTATGGAAAAACAAAAACAAATTTCAGGCGATGCCTGTGGCTCAAAGGAGTAGGGTGCTCACCCCATATGTCCGAGGTGGTGGGTTTAAACCCAGCCCTGGCCAAAAAACTGCAAAAAAAAACAAAACAAAGGAAAACAAATAAACAAACAAAAAGAACAAATAATTTCTTTCAAATTTTACTTCTCTGAGTGAGGTTTTAAGCTAATGTCATGAAGCAACCTCGTTATTAAATACACCCTTTAAGTATAAAAAGTTGACCTATGTTTTGTAATTACAAAGGACTTTCAACCATTTACTGTAAAAGCATTGAAAATTTAGTATTTCCATGTGAATAAGAATATTTTAGAGCATATAATCAGTGAGCAGGGATATGACTAATTTTATCAAATATCTGAGGAGTTTTTGAAATTAAAATTATAATGAACTATACTTATTTTCATGCATTGTTAAACATCAATAATATACATTGAATTGTAGGTAATGTAAATTGGCATTTTCTATAATGACTCCAGAATTAATAGTGTTGCCATAATTGTATTCAGCATAAATCCAAACAATATTTTTATGTCAAATATAGTAAAATGTTTGTGAGAAAATGTGTATACTTTACAGTGTACAATATTGTGTTAAGACATTATTTTTTGCTTTACTTGAACCCAAACCTTCATTAAATTATCTAAAAGATTTAGAACAGATGAAAATAGTCTAGACCAGCAGTTCTCAATCTGTGGGTCACGAACCCTTTGGGGGTCGAATGACCCTTTCACAGGGGTCGCCTAAGACCATCCTGCATACCAGATATTTACATTACAATTCATAACAGTAGCAAAATTACAGTTATGAAGTAGCAATGAAAATAATTTTATGGTTGGGGGCCACCAGTGGGGAACTGTATTAAAGGATTGCAGCATTAGGAAGACTGAGAACCACTGGTCTAGACCCAACCTCCACCTTCTAGATTGTCAACATATCTCATAAAGAGATACACATATCTCATGAAGAAAATGCAACCTGAAAATTCAGAGAGAGATTTCTTTTATGTTTTCTTTTATCATTTAATCTACAGAGGGGAAATAAAGCAGCTTCCTGTGCCTTTCAAAGGACTTCTGAATGAGCTTGAAGCTCTTTTATGCATTTCTGAAAAGAACATGAAGGTATTCTCGCCCATATTGCAAAACAGCAAGCAATTAGGTAAACACAAAAAATACTTTACACACTTTTCTTCTAAGAAGCTGACAGAGGTTTAGAAATAGGCTAATAAATCTGCATACAGCTAGAGAGTGAGGCAAGTATTCTACTCCTCTTTGATATGAAAAAAATTAAAATACTAGAGTTAGAGAACCCGTTTTCTGAAGTCTTCTCATTATCAGAGTTTTCAAAGTCTTGTGTATTGCTTAGTCCCCAACATTTTCATCCTCTGTTTGTGCAAATAGACTTAAAATCCGTCGTAAATTTGTGTGTGTGTGTGTGAGGAGGAAATGCCACTCTTTGACAACTAATCAAAGGCTTTTTCTCTGGCAATGGTATCTGGAAGGAAAATGATTCCAAACACAGTGATGAATGACAGAACATTTTCTAGCGCACCCGTTCACACCGCTACACATTTCAGGCCCAAGAGCTGTCGCTTTAATGAGTATTCCTGAGATAAAATTATATCGTTAGCACTTGAAGAAATAAATGAAAAATAAAGTCTTTGTACTCTAAGAATTCACTTGGTGTTTCCTGTCAGGTGAACTCAACTTCCTATCATTGCTAGAGACAGGGAGGGGAGACCCTTTCTAAGGGTCAGTCCTGGGTCCGCTTGAGGCATTGGCCTGTCAGTATTCTGGATAATGGTGAAATTTTCTATTGTATCATTTCAAATACCTTATCTGAATAGGACTATTGTGGGGAAAATGATGACAAACCCCGATTGCTGACATTTAGACCAC